CTTGTAATCTTTCGATTTTATTCTCGAAATAGAAGAAAAAGAATCTCTAGCCTGGCCCTGATACTCCGTCGTACATTCAGTGTGCAGCATTGTAGAGCAAATTAAAAAGTTTTACCCACTGACTGCCACCATTGAAAGGATTAGTTGGATGTTGCCATGTGGAAAAGTGGCCAAAGCCACTGAACTTCACCTTCAAATGTATGCAATAAAAAAAAAGAAAAACCTCTTCAAAATTGCAATTTCACAAACAAGTCCTAAAATCTTTCTCAATGCTGCTGGCCCCTGGACCATCTTCTCCTTGACTCTGCTTATTCTATTATGGTAATAAACATAAAAAAAGGGGAAAGCATAATTTTAAAACAGTATAAGGAAAATCAGTAAGAAGTGTGGCTGTGACCTTTATCTTTAAAGTCACTTTTATCCCATAGAGATTTTTTTGTCTCTTCTCTGATTCTCCTCTCTCTAGTGCGATCAAGTGACTTATTTTAAATATGCGGAGAGCAATTGTGAGCACAAAATCTGCCCAGAACTGAAATTTTGGGCTATAAACTAAGTAGCTAATGTCACAGAGATAGCAACTTTGGAAATTAATGTTAACTGGCTTAACATATCGACACGTTGATATGTTTGACCATGTCATCATTTAACTTGTTGTAAAATAGGAGGTCTTTGTAAGGTTACCTATAGCCGAAATGTAAACACCTTCCAATGGACCTGTAATGGTCACTCAAAATCCGTGGTTGGTATTCAAACTGTTAATCAGACAGCAGCTGTCATGGAATCCAGGCAACCGAAAGTTAATGGATGATGTCAGCTGCTAGATTGTTCACCTACCTGTTGAAGGGGATGGGGCCTGAAGATGAAGACTGTGAGATAGTCAGAAAATCCCATCCCTCACTATAACAGTCCTTTAGAATCCTACTAGGTACTTTACAGAAACAATTATTGGTGTTAAATTGCTGCCAAATATCTGACTATTGTGATATTAAGCAATCACAATAGTGCAATATAAACAATTGTGTTTACATCAACAACAGCTGGTGCAAGAACGCCAGCTTCTGCTCTCCAGACATCAAGTTTCTGACTGTTAACTGCAGACCGTTCTACCTGCCCAGAGAGTTCAGTGTGGTTTATGTGCAAATACAAAAGAAGCCATGAAGACTCTATACCAGGCTATCTCTGAGCTCCAATCTGCACACAGACGGTGTTTTCATCATTGCTGGGGATTTTAACCAG